TCGTCTTCCCTGCTTGCATCGCCTTTCCCGATCCTCTGGGCCGCTGGCCTCTCGGGCGCGGCCTCACCGGCCCCTGGCATACCATCCCCTGTCCGCGTGACGTCATCCTTCGCCCTTCGAGCTTCCCCCCCCCTCTCCAGCCGCACGCAGGCGCATGGGGCCGAGGCGAAGGGGACGCCACGGAATGGAGGAATAACAAAAGGCAGACACAGAACCTTTAGACGTCCCGCGCGGATCTCTCGGATCTGCGCTGGATCCCCCTCCCTGGCGCGCGGAGCACGGAGGAGGAAGAGGAGGAGGAGGAGGAGGAGGAGGAGGAGAAGGAGGAGGAGGAGGGGGTCCAGCGCAGACCCACGAAGCCCGCGCGGAGCCCCAAAAGCTTATGATTGTACCGTTGTTTTGCTCTTCGACAGAAGGGAGTTGGCTTGCTAGGAGTCGCTTGCGCCGCTCCTGAGCCCCTCCTCCTCCCCGCCCTCGGGGCCCCTCTTGAGCAGGGACCCGCCGTCCCGGCATGCCTATTGGCCTACAGCGACACGTCCTTAGAGCCCCAGAGAGTTCGAAGAACAGACACATCGCTCTGAGAACAGAAACCACATGTGTGAGCACAAGACAGTCTCGGGCAGAAATGCTCCAACAACACATCATTCAGACCGCAGGAGGTTCTTAGAACACTCTTTGGTGGGCCTATAGGCGAGCCAGGACTTAGTGGGCCTATAGGCGAGCCAGCCTTGAGCATGGTGGGCTTCCGCCAAGAGAACGCACGCATGGATTATCTGAAGATGCGGGTGCGTGGGGGCAAGTCCGTGGTCTGTAGCGCTTGCGCCCCCCCGTACAGCGGGAAGTGCTTCGAAGACCGGCAGCATTAGTATTCCGACCTGGGGAAATTTGCGCGAAACATCTCAAGTCATGGGCCGATCAGGGTTCTCGGCGATTTCAACGCCCAGCTACATCGTCGTTCCCCGCAAGAAACCGTCTTGGGCCCTCACATATTCGGCTGCCCCCAGACTGAGCACAGCCCTGCGTCAAACCACAGCCTCTTGATCGAGATGTGTTTGAACTTGAAGCTCACCGTTGGCAACAAGTATTTCGATGCCTCCGCAGATAGACAGATAACTTGCTACAATGTGCGCTGTCAGCCGTCGGACCCTCCCGTGCCGGGCAATTTTGGCCAGGACGATTGTGTCCTAATGCCCGTCGCTTGGATACATAAGCTTCGCCATGTTCACAGTGACCGCTCGCGAGCTCTGGCTTCGCACCATTTTCTCGTCTGGAGATCGACGTCCCCCGGGAGCCCAAGAAACGGCGCCATCGGCAGTTCGACCTCAAAGCGCTGAGGGGGCCGACGGGCGACAGATTCGCACGGGCGTTCGACGCAGCGATGCTTTCTGAATCTGCGCGGTGCGACCTGGTAACCACGACTGACCTCGACGAGGCCATGACTCGATCGCTCCACGCCACCGCTGGCGATTGCATTCCCCGCCTGCAGCTCTCGCCGGAGCGCCCTCGGATCCCGGGGCAGACGCCGTCCCCGATCCAGCGGAGAGCGCTGAAGCGAGGCAGCGCGAGAGGGTCGGACAGGAGAGACGGCTGCAAGCAGAGGTGATGCGCTCCGCCCGCAGCGATAGGTCAGCGTGGCTCGACGCCCCTTGGCGCCACCGGGAAGTGGGGCCAGCTGAAGAGCCTCCGGAAGGGCTCTGCTCCGAAGCAGGGGAGGCCGAGGGGAAAGGCTGGAGAGCTCGTGGATTCCAACCGCCGTGCAGGGACACGGGCCGAGTATTTGCACAAGGTGCAGTGGGCCACCCGCGCCACAACGCCCATGTCCAACAAGCCCCTTGGCGACGAGCTGAACGTGAGCGACACCCCCATCAGCGGCGAAGAAGTGGCAGCGGCCGCCAAGCGCATACGCTGGGGCACGGCTTGCTTCGCTGACGAGGTGCCCAGCGATCTTTGGAAAGCTGCATGCAGGGCGGGCTCGTCGCAGAGATGGGCGCTCGCATTATGTGAGAAGTGCGGGCGAGAGGGGTCGGTCCCCGAGGCGGGGCACGATTCCCTAATCACGACCATTTTCGAGAAGGGCGACGCTTCCAAATGCGAGAATTATCGTCCGATTTGTTTGTTGCGGGCCGGGTATAAACTCTTCGACAACATCGTCCTCGAGCGCTTGAAGAAGGCCGGCGCCGACGAGCGCATCTGGCGCACGCAGTTCGGGTTCAAGTCGAGGAGCGGCACAGCTGACGCCATCTTCCTTGCGAGGCGGCGCCTCGAAGAAGTCTGGGCGACCAGAGATGGGAAGCTCGTGCTACTGGCGCTCGACTGTGCGAAAGCTTTCGACAGCGTCATGCCCGACGCGATGATCGCGGCCCTGAATCGCTTTGGGCTTCCAGAGGATCTACAGTGGCAGAAAGTTTGCTGTGAGAGAAGCGGGGCTGACGTCATCCAGGCAGGCGCAGGGCTCGGGCATCTGCCAAGGCTGCCCGCTCTCACCGTTCCTCTTCGTCATGGTCATGACTGACCTCCTTTGCGATGCCCAGAGGAGCCTGGGACATGCTGGCGGGGAGATCAGTGACCTCGCTTACGCCGAGGACACGTTGATTGTCGGGGCATCTGCGCCTCAGGCGGAAACCTACATGAGAGCTATAGAGGCCGCTGGGTCCAACTACGGTCTCGTGTTCAACTGGGGCAAACTGGAGATGCTGACCGCGAGGTGCGAAGCAGACATCCCTAAGCCAGACGGCGGTGTCATCCCCCGTAAGGAGCACCTCGTTTACCTGGGCAGCGTGGTCTCGGCAGACGGTTCAGCCGGGCCAGAGCTCAACCGACGGCTGTGCGAGGCGCAGGCAGAGTTCGAAGCATTGTCGCGGGTATGGTCCCTTTCCACGGTGTCCACCCAGAGGGAGCTGATGATCTTCGAAGCGTACGTGCAGACGAAGTTGCTGTACAGCCTCCACACCAGCTGGTTGAAGAAGCAGGAGCTGGCCAAGGTGGACGCGTTCCACGCAAGGTGCCTCCGCCGCATCCTTGGCATTAGCCTCTCGTATTGGAGCAGTGTCACCAACGCCACCGTGCTGCAGCTGGCGGGGCGGATGAAGCTGTGCAGCGTCTTACTGCAGAAGCAATTGTGTGTATTCGGACAGATAGCTAGATGCGCGGTAGGGCACCCTCTCCGAGACGCTGTTTTTGACCCTCCGCCCTCTCTTCCCCTTCCTCCCCCTCTCCCCCGTGCGTTATCAAGAGACCACCTGGCGTTAGGACGAAAGGTCGTCCCCGGCAGACGTGGGCCGGAGAAGACGGCAGGCACGCCGCTGCCATCTGCGACGTTTGCGGTTTTCCCAGAGAGAATATGGATGCCATCCCAGGAAACAGCTGGAAGACAGCTGTGCGGGTGCCCGTCGATGGCCCCTGGAGACCGAAAACCTCCCGCTCTGATGATTGCACGATGCGATCATGCCTGGGCCCCCTCCTCAAAGGAACAAAAACAAATGCGTAAACGCCGTAAACATGAACTGTCTGAGGTCTGGGCGGATTTCGTGGATCCGCGCTGGACCCCCCTCCTCCCCAACGCGCGCCAGGGGCGGCGTCTGAAGCGCCGACAGGGGAGACCCAGCGCCGATCCAAGAGATCCGCCGTGGTGGGCTATTCTGGGAGCGCCACGGCAGCCCCAGGTCGTGCCACAAAAAGGCGCTGACGCTCGCCGAGCGAGCTGCACCACGCAGCTGGGGTGCTGCTGCCGCTGGGCTGGGCGTTTACCCTGGCGGGCTGTGCCCGTTTGAGGGGGGCTCTGCCTTTGAGCGCCAGGCACCTCCTCTGCTAGGCTTAGGTCGGGCGTGTCACCCTGCAGGCGGATTTGGGGCAAAAGATGTAAATATCTTTAAAACATACCCCAAATCAGAACAAAAAACAAAACATCGACCCCAGACTGTTTTTTAACTTTTCGTAAATATTCCTCCTGTAGAGGGACGTACCCGACTTAATGCTAGGCAGACGTCGTAACCTCACACGCGCGCGCGCGGGAAGACGCAGGAGCTGCTCTCCCTTTCTGTGGCAACTTATGGGGGCATCCCATGCCATCTGGCTGGATCTTGCGAATCCACGCTTATCGCCGCTTATCTACGATTCATCGACGCTTATCGACGCTGCTCGGCACTAAATCGGTGCAAAATCGGCGCTGTCTCATCGACTGCCCAACGCTCATCGACGCCAGCGCGCTCGAAAGACGGAGCGTTGAGGGTACACAAGGCTCCCATGATTTGCTACCGAATCCAAACTCCTCGCAGAACTCACGCCCGCCGAACGCTGTCTCCTTTCGTGTCCGCTCGTCCGCCGAGGGCTGGGACACTGCGGGCGGGGTGCCGCGCGGGCGCCGGTGGGCGCGTGGCCCGCACCACGCGACATGCCGCGAGCTGCGGGCCCGCGCCGTGTGCAGGCTTCGGGCTCAGCTCCTCCTCCGGCCGAGCCCCTCTCGTGAAGCTCCACCCTTGTTTTGGGCCCCGCCCAGTTCGTGCCCCTCCCTCGAGGTCGCTGGTGCGGTGTTGGGAGGGCGTTGGGGCTGGGCTTGTGCCACAACTGACGATCTTCGAATATGTAAACTCGTTCTTCTTTACTATCAATGATACTCATATTTCTCCATCCAATACAGAAAGACAACGACAGCGGCTAGAGTTTGGACGTCACTGGTGATATAGGCGGTGAGGGGTCCTCCTCGTGGTCCTCGCCCTTGGTGGGCTCACCCTTGATGTGCTCATCCTCGGCGTCGCGACGCCGCCATGCCCTAAATGAGTTGGCACGCCCTGCCAACGGAATCCAGCGACCCCGATTGCCGGGGGTGAAAAGGCGTATGTAAAATTTGGTTGTCCCCCTTCCCCTGTCCACCCCCCCTGGGGTCCAAAATGCTGTTTGAGGGTGGGGGTTGGGGGAGTGGGACGAGCTCCTAAAGAGCATCCCTGGGGCCTCCGGAGCCTTCCCAGGGCCCCAAGACCGCCCAAGAGAGCCAAACCAGAACCCAAAAACATTGCAAGAAAGCGTCAAGATGACTCAAGGTAGCCCCACGCCGATTTAAGATGGTTTCGAGACAGCCCACGAAGTGCCCAGGACGGCCCAAGAGTGCTCCCACAGGACCGCCAAGAGGACCACAAGAAGCAAACATCGTGCCACTCCCATCTGAAAACTTACTGTTTCAGCATACTCGCCTTTTTAGTCTTGACACCGTCAAGGACGGCCCAAGGAGGTCCCGAAATTGCCCCAAAATCCCACCAGCCCTTTTGGCGACAGGTGGTCTAGCGAGGGTCTATTTCCTCTTCCACAACCCCTCTTCCCTTCGGGGAGGGGAACCCTCCCCCTCCCCTCCCTGAGGTTTTTTTGGAGGGGATCGCGAGGTGTCAGAGGGTCCTTTTCCGGCCCCTGGGAGGGCCATTTTTGACACCCCTGACGATGATCGTGGCCCCCGAGGGGGGGACACAAATCTAGTACCTCCACTCTGTTGACCGACCGCCTCCAACATGGCCCCAAGAGGCCCTCCATGGCTCCCAGGAGGCTCCCAAGAGAGCCCAAAGAGCGCCCCAAGAAGTCCCAAGAGGCCTACAAAAGGCACCCGAGAGGTCCCCAAGAGGCCCCCGAGCGGCCCTCGAGGGGCCTCAGAGAGCCCAAGATGACCTCCAAGATGGCTCAAGATAGTCCAAGCTAGCTCCAGATGGCTCCCAAGATGCTCCAAGAGGCCCGAAGTCCGCTCCAAGACTGCTCAAGATGGCCACGGAGCCTCCCCAGGACGCTTGAGATGCCCAAAATCCTTCAAAACGTAGCGAAATCAATGAATCTGGCCTTCTCGCCTTTTTGCTTTCGATGGCCTTCCGAGGCCTCAAGATGCCTCCTCCTCCTCCTCCTCCTCACTTTCTTTCTCCTTGTCCTCCTCATCCTCGTCCTCCTTCTCCTCGTCTTGCTCCTCTTGCCTCCTTCCTCCTCCTCCTCCTCCTCCTCCTCCTCCTCCTCCTCCTCCTGCTCCTCCTCCTTCTCATCCTCCTCTTCCCCCCCCCACGCGGGCCCAGAGATGGCCCCAACACGCCATCCAGGCCGGCCTCCCTCGCTGTTTGACTATGCGTCGTGTCTCTTCCCCTCTCCCCCCGTCAGCTCTCATGGGCATCGTTTCTGGATGGGATGGTGGGGATACGCGAAGCATCAAGGATTGTGAACGAGGCTTCCAAAGGGGCCCAGAAGCGGCCCGGGCCCAAAGACGGCCTCAGGGGCCTCCAAGACGGACCGATAGAGCCCCAAGAGGGTCCTGCCAGGGATCCAAGAGGGAGAATGCGAACTGATACTTCGAGTCTTTTCCACCGAGATGGCCCCAAGAGCTCCTTAACAGCCCCCGAGGAATTCCAAGAGGCCTCAAGAGGCCTCCAGGAGGGCCCCAAGAAGCCCCCAAGATGCCCCCAAAGAGGCGCAACGGCCTCCCAGGTGCATCGAAAAACCCTCCAAAAAAACCCTGAGAGACATCCCAAGAGACTCTCATGTTCATCGAAGAGGTTCCTGACCCACAACCCAGGCACGGTGGCGGATTGGGCCGAAGACCACAAGATAACTCCCACGATCGTTGCAAGCTCTGGCTCCTTCTGGGGGTCGGCGGAATGGCGTAAGCCACTTGGAAAAAAGAGGCATGCAGGCGACGACCACCAGAAAGAGCACGTGCACCATCTCAAAGAGCTCGCCTACGCACGTGTTGCGCATCTCGAGAACTGGATATACAAATGATGTGGGTTGCGCAAGGCATATACAGATCGGTCGCATCCCATGCTCGGGCACACAATTGCACGTACTGTGTTCGATGGCATCAAAGCGAAGGCGCTTGGGCATACTTCCCACGGACATACCTACATACCGAACTACCACATACACGCTGCACCCGGAAAGAAAGCCTCTGACTATGCATATGTTTATACGAATGCACTTTTGCGTGCATGCTGCGCACACGTATATGCATGCATGTATGAATGTATGAATGTATGTATGTATGTATGCCTGCATGTATGTATGCATGTATGTATGTATGTAGAATTGCCCCATGGGATCACAAATATCGTCTTGAATCGTTGTCATGTGAACCCCACCTTCGTCATCTTGACCATGCTTTTATTCATTATGTCTCACCAACACCAATCATCATTATTCTGAACTCGGACTTCAATGTCATCGGAACGTATCCCAGATCCAGAAGATTCCGGTTGGATTTGAATCGCATTCAATCGGAGTTCCACTTGATCGGAGCAGATCTCATCCAGAAGTTTCCTGTTACATGTGAATGAAATTCAAGTGGTGACCCAATAGGGGTCCCAGATCGGCAGGATTCCTACTGAATGCAGAACCATAGAGGCAGCCACGAGGGCCATCACTCAGAAAAACTTCGTCGTCATCCTTCTTCGATTCGTGCTCCTCTCCTTTCTTACCTCATCGTTTCCTCCTCCTTCTCCTCCTGATTTGCCATCTCGTCCTCCGCACGACCTGTCCTCACCCGTCCCCGTTCCCGCCAGGGTCCTCCCGTGTCTCGCCATCCTACTGCTCCTGCTCATGTTGCTACTGCTGCCGTTGCTGCTCCTTCCTCTGGCGAGGGAGATGCATAGTAAGAAGGGGGAGCATGGACCCCGATCGAACTCGAATGAGACTATCTTGTGCTTTCAGTCGAAAGGGAGCAGATCCCAGGTCCAGAATGTTCCGATGGATCTTGGTTGTGCTACGGTCTGAATGGGAACTAGAAGTGGACCCAGGTCCAGAGGGTTCGGGTTGAACATGGATGGGCTTCTGAGCAAGCTTCACTAGAAACGGAGCAGATCCCAGGTCCAAAAGACCCTGATAGAAATGAACCCCAGATCCTCACGACTCCTATTGGAATTAGATGGGGGCCAATCTGATTTCAAACGAAGCGGAGCAAGTCCCAGATCCAACGATTAACTAGCTGGAATACGGACCCTCTTCTTGTACGTACGATTACAACAGGAATGTGGCAGATCCCATATCCAGAGGATGCATATTGGATTTGGATCGAATCCCAATTAGTTGTTAATAGAAACGGGGGTGAATACAGATTTTGAACATTTCTATTGAGTGTGGTTCGGATTCGAATCGGCCCAACGGCCCCCCGAGAGCCCCAAGCGTCCCCCCCCACACACACCCTACACGCCCGAAGACGATCCCAAGAAGACCCTCCAAAAGGCCATTCACATGGTTCAGATCATGATTGAGACTGTTGTTTGATTTGGGGGCTTGCTCGGTGTTCGATATTCTGGGCTTCGGAGACTGCCCAGGAGGCCCCGTAGATTGCATCAAGACGGGCCACAAGTGCACCAGCCCAGCCCGAGGAAAGCCCCATGACGGCCCCAGATGGCCACAATACGACGGTGGATTCCAGCAATCATGCTGAGGCAGTCCTTCGGTGGCATGCTATCTTGCTGGCTCGTGCGTACCGATGCTCACCGACGCTAGTCAACGCTAAGTCGACGCTAACCGACGCTCATCGACGCTACACCGTGGCTAAATCATATATTGCCAGACGCTAGCACACGCGAATGCACTCCAAAGACGGGGTTCCGAGGGCGCTCAACATTCCCATGATTTGCTGCCGAACTTTCGGTGGCAACTCATGGGAGCCGCCCATACCTTCTTGTCGGCTCCTACGAATCGACGCTAATGGACACTAGCCGACGCTAACCGACGCTGAATCGAAGCGAATCGACACTCGCCGACGCCAGATCGGCGCTGTCTCATCGACTCCCAGACGCTAACCGACGCCAGTCGACGCCAGTGACGGCATTAAGAGGGCATACCAGGCTCCAATGATTTGCTACCGAACGAGCTGTCTGGTGCGATCGGGTCGGGCGAAAGGGGAGGATAGCAAAGGGAAAATTCGAGAATCAGCTCACGTAGCTGATTTTCCCAGCGCCTCCCGGCGATGGAGGCGGCCATGTATCGAGGAACGGGCCCCTCGATGAGGCCGAAACCAGCTGCATGCAGCAAATTTCGTAACCTCCCTTTCCCAATCCCCACCCTTTCGCCCGGCCCGCTGCGAGCGAGCCAGACGACAACCCCACCCGACGACGGAACCCCTCCGATCCCTGGCCGGGGCAGGCAGGCCGACCGGGCCGAGAAGGACCTCTGGGCCCGCGAGCTTGCCAGGGCCGTCTGCAAAGAAGCGCGCGTTTTCGTGGCCACGCTCCGGGCTGCTCGGCTCAACGTCCCAGGCAGGTGCTCCGAGTGGTCGAGAGGGGGGGGATCGTGTGGCGCGCCGGCGGGGCGGTCATGACCCCTTTCGTTCACGCGAGCCTGGACAAGAGGATTTGCGCGGGACTGCCGCGCTGGGCCTGCTGTTCTAATTATGTACAATGGCTCGATCGAGGGCCGGGACAATGGCGAAGGAGCCTCGCGGTCTTAGCCGTCACGGCCCCTCGTGTACAGAGAACCCTTTAGGTCGCATCGGCCCTCATCATTTCTAGAATCAGTCTTGGCGCCGAGAAGGGGGCTCGAACACCTGAGCACGGCTCGTGTCCACATTTTGCCCGAGAGCATTCATGGGATCCCCTGCATCTGGCGCACGTACGGCGCGAAGGGGTCCTCATCCTGCTCTGCATTGGCTGCGGCCCCGCTATCCCGCTCCGACTCCTCCGGCGCCGCCTCCACGGCGCTCACCATGCTCCCAAGCCAACCCTTGGCACGCTCCCAGCCGGACTCCGTTGACGACTCCACTCCCATGTTCTCAGCAACGATCGCCGCCGCCTTCTGTGCGACCTGTTTGCCGCACAACGTCCACAATTCCTTGCACTCACCCTCGACAGACCTCGCACCGTCATGGCCCCAGCACTTCTTCTTGGCCTCTGTGCAGGGGCCGTCCTTCGTATCCGTGCTGTCAGGCGAAAGGAACTTCTGGCGCATCTGCTTTGCGCAGGCCTCCCACTTCTCCGCGCATTCGCCATCGAGCACCTTCACCCCTGCAGGGTTCACGCACTCCTTCTTGGCCCTTCCGCACGGGCACATTCTGTGGCCCTCTGTCGCGGTGCCCTCGCCGAACACTGCCGTCCCCGCAAGCTTGACGCTGGCAGACTCGATCGCGGAGCCCGGACCGAAGCCGACGGCAAACTCCACGCCGAACTCCGTGGCCAGGGCGGCCTCCCACGCAGCCTTAACCGTCGCACTCCTACGCTCCTTCTGTAGAGGAACAAACAATGACATGGACAGAACAACTCGGAGGTCCGCACGGGTTTCCCGGATCGGCGCTGAACCGCACTCCCTAGCGCGCGGAGCGCGCCAGGGGCGCCGTCAGGGGGCCCCAGCGCCGCTCCGAGGAAGCCGCGCGGACCTCCGAGCTTTTATGCTAACGCCATTGTCGGTTCCCGGGTTCTGGTCTTTGCAGGCGCGCCAAAGTTCCTCTAGAAGCCTCCTAGATGGGGTCGGAGTAGATGGGGTCGAAGGATCGCGCCGCATCGTCGATGCATCGGCGACACACCTGGGAGGCATCGGCAATGCATCGCCGACGTCGGCGATACATCGGCAACGTGGACGTGAAGCAACACGGGATCCACACCGAGCCGCCTCGGCGATGCAGAGCGACCCTTCGACCCCATCTACTCCGACCCCATCTGGAAGGCCTAGAATTGGCCGGGCATGTCCTCCTACAGGCGGTGATGGATACATCTTTGTTGGAATACCAAGAAACACCAAACACGTCAAACATGCTCAAACAAAACTTTAAATAATGATAGAAACATCGTCCCAAAATATGTTCCTTCTATTCCCAACCATCCTGTGGTGTTGGGTCCTCGTTTTGAAGAGATAGCGCCCCGCGTCACTCCTTTCCTCCTCCCCCTCCCTCCTCCCATCATCAGCATCAGCATCAGCATCAGCATCAGCATCAGCATCAGCATCATCATCATCATCATCATCATCATCATCAGCATCATCAGCATCATCAGCATCATCATCATCATCATCATCATCATCATCATCATCATCATCATCATCATCATCATCATCATCATCATCATCATCATCATCATCATCATAATAGTCATCATCATCATCATCACCACCACCATCATCATCATCATCATCATCATCATCATCATCATCATCACACTCATCACACTCATCATCAATATTATCATCGTCGTCGTCATCGTCATCGTCATCGTCTTCGTCACACCCCTCACACGCTTCGTGGCCATGCAGGGAGCTCCATCGAAGGCCCTAGTGCCACCGTCCACATGCGTCCCCCCACCCATTTCGGCACACCCCTCACACGTTTCGTGGCCCCATAGCGAGCTCCACACAAGGCCCCATGCGTCCGCCACACCCATATCGGCACACCCCTCACACGTTTCGTGGCCCCATAGGGAGCTTTACCGAAGGCCCCAACAGCACCGTCCACATGCGTCCGCCACACTCATGCCGGCACACCCCTCACACGCTTCGTGGCCCCATAGGGAGCTCCAGGCCCCAGAGGCACCGTCCACATGCGTCCGCCACACCCATTTCGGCACACCCCTCACACGTTTCGTGGCCACATCGGGAGCCCCACTGAAGAGGATACTCACGACTGCGGCACTCACAGGTTAATATGGGTGGGTCCTTCGCCAGGCGAAGTTGACTATGCCTCCTGCAGAAGGACAGGCCCGATTTAAGCCTAGATCCTCGCAGTCACCCTCGTTGTTGACCTCGCCGCTCGCCGAGGTGCAGCGTGCGTTGGCATGCTTGCACGGGCACCCGCGGGGCTCGCGCGCCCCCGCGCCCCTCGGCAAGACGCGCTGCTCGGGCACCGGGCACACCATGGAGTGGCCCGGGTGCTCGCCGTGGTGCTCGTGGTGGTGCTCGCTGTCGGGCACGCCGCGGCCCCACGGGTGGTGCTCGCGGCGGTGCTCGTGGTGGTGCTCGTCGTCGTGGTCGTGGTGGTGCTCGTGGTGATGAGGCCCGGGCCGAGCGAACTCGGGGTCGCCTGTGATGTGGTCCTCGGCGCCGTCGCAGCCGAAAGTGGCGCGTTCGATGCATCGGGCGCTGGAGATGCAGAAATCCTTGCCGCTGGCAAGGCAGGCCTCGCACTGCGACGGCTCGGCGGCGCCCAGCGGAGAAGCCGGACACACCATGGAGTGGCCAGGATGGTGGCCCTCGCGGCGGTGCTCGTGGTGCTGGTGGTGGTGCCACGGATGGTGCTGGTGCTGGTGCTCGTCGTCGTGCTCGTGGTGATGCTCGTGGTGGTGCCCGTGGAGCCCCCTGCCGGCGCGGGGCCCAGGCTTGGCGAACTCGGGGTCGCCGGTGATGTGGTCCTCAGGCCCGCGGCACCCCATGGTAGCCCTCGGGATACAGCTGTTGGTCGAGATGCAGAAGTCCTGGCCCTCCGCGAGGCACTCCTGGCAAGTGCTGCTGACTGCCGTGGAAAGCGTTGACCTGCGGTACCACAGGCCGCCGCCCCACAGCCCACCCAGCAGCGGCACGAGCAGCAGCACGACCTTGGACAGCCGCTCGAGCTGCAGCATGCGCCTGAGCACACGTGGGTCTGTGCCCCACTCACTGGATGTTTGGCTGAAGCGGCGAAGCGATTGCCCAGCAGAAGGTCGGACTCTCGAGCCCGAGCTTCGGACGCTACCATGGCTCCGTCTGCCTCGCACGCCACCCATCGCGGTACGGCCACTGCTTCTCTGTCGCTCACGTCTGCCTCTCCCCCCCCCGCTCACTCACACTCCCTGTCCTCTCCCCCCCTCTCTCTCTGTCTCTCGCTCTCTCTCCCATTCTCCACCTCTCTCTGTCTCTGTTTCGATCCTTCGCTCGCTCTCTCTCTCTCTATCTCTCTTAGCCCCCCTCCCTCTTACCCCAATCCATGCCCCTCACCACTCCTCACGCTGCCCCAGCGGTTGAGAAGAGGCAGAGAGACCTGCAAGCTTGCTGTGCCCACCTGCAGCCCGCAGATATCCCCGCGTCCGGTGCGCCAGCGCGGAACGGCCCGGCCAGCCTCAACTTCCGACAGCGCCCCCTCCGAGCGCCCTGTGCTTCGCTCACCGCTCGACACGTTCTGCTACGGCCATGGCACTGCCGGAAGGAACACAAAATGAGCGACGATCAAAAATGTGTCTTACGCGGGATGATGTATTGACCTTACGCGGTGGCTTACGCAGGCCGCCGGCGCGGCACGCTACATTGAAAACGAGGGCGCTCACGCGCGAGCTTGCGCGCCGATGCCGGCGAAGACGACCCCGTTTTCTTGCGTCGCTCAAATGAGGAGCGGAGGGGCCTTTCTGGCCACGGCGAGCCTCGGCCGCGATTGGATCCCCCGGCCCATCGAGCTGGGGAACGGCCTCAAGACCAGAGCCCCTCAGGAGCCGAGAGTGGTCCTCCACGCAGCGCCTCGACGGCGCTCCGGCGGGCCAGACACGGTGGGGCCACAACGCCGGGGGGCGACGGCGAAGCAGGTCCCTCTTGGTGGCGTGCCCCCCCCCCCCCCGTTCTGGGGTAAGGTCGGGCATGCCCACCTACAGGCGGATTCTGGACGAGAAATAAAAAAAGTCAAAAACAACGCCCCAAAATATTCAAACATAGACCAACAAAATCGTCCCCTGATTATTCTTTGACCATTTTTCCCCCATGAGAGCCTGCCTCTGTAGGGATCCTAGCGGATTCATATGGTTAGGTGAGGTGTGTCACCGATTTCCGCGGCCCGCCCGGGTGCCCAAGTGCCCGGGTGCCTGGGTGCCCAGGTGCCCGGGTGCCCAGGCGCCTTATTGTCCTATAGCCCTGTAGCACTATAACCGTATAGCCATGTAGCCCTACAGCCTTATAGCACATATAGCCCCATAGTCCAATAGACCAATCGCCCAATAGCACTATAGCCCTATAGCCGTATAGACGTATAGCCGTATAGCCCTAAAACCCTATCGCCCTATCGCCCTAGAGCCCTATAGCCCCAAAGCCCATAGCCCTATAGCCCTATAACCCCATAGCCCTATAGCCCAATAACCCTATAGCCCTATAGCCCAATAGCCCTATGGACCAATAGCCCAATAGCCCTGTAGACCTATAACCGTTTAGCCATATAGCCCTATAGCCTTATAGCCCTATAACCTTATACCCTTATAGCCCTATAACCCTATCGCACTAGAACCCTAGAGCCCTATAGCTCTATACATGCCTATAGTCCTATACCGCTATAGCCCCATAGCCCTTTTATATAGATGTAGCCGTATGGTCCCATAGCCCTATAGCCCCATAGCCCTATAGACTCCTAGCCCTATGGCCCTATATCACTTTAGCTCCATAGCCCCATGGCCCGATAGCCCTACAGTCCTATAGCCCTATGGCCCTATAGCCTTTTAGCCCTGTAGTCCTATAACCCTGTGGCCCTATAGCCCCATAGCCCCACAGCCCTATACCCCTATGGCCCTATAGCCCTATGGTCCTGTAACCCTATAGCCCCATAACCCTATAGACTCATAGCCCTATGGCCCTATAGCCCTATAGCCCCATAGCCCCATAACCCTATAGCCCTACAGCCCTATATCCCTATGGCCCTTATAGTTCTATAGCCTTATCGCCCTATACACCTATAGCCCTAGAGACCTATAGCCCTATGGCCCTATAGCCCTAATAGCCCCACAGCCCTATCGCCCAATAATTCGCCCCGTAGCCCTATAGCTCTAAAAAGACTTTGATTGGGGCTTCTCTCTGGTATCATTGAATATTCCTCCTGTAGAGGGACAGGCCCGGCCCAATTCTGGGGCCGCCCCGCCCGAAGCGCCTCCCATCTCCAGCCCATGGGGGGGGTTCACCGTGGAGCTCCTCGCTCACCGCTGGACGTGCCATGCCAGTGACACGGTGGCTTGTTATGGCAACGGTCGTTGCCAAGGGGGGGAGGGGGGCCGGGGCCCCAGGTAGCGGTCGCGCTCGGGCGGGGTGGGTTCACCTGGGCGGGGAAGCGCTGCGATTGGCACAGTATGCACGCGAGCGCCAGCACGAGGGGGAAGGTCCAAACACCCCCTCCCCGTACAATCGTTACCGTTACTTGGGGGGGTGGGGGTGGGCCGTGCAACGACCATTGAACGCCAGAGGATTTCAAAACAATCTCGGTGGTGGTGTCGCCTCTGGGAGGACTAAGGGGTACCGATGCCACCACTCCCAGTCCCCTTCCGGGGTGTGTTCTGATCAGAATTTCGAGGCGAATCCAGCCGTGGCGACGAAGGCCTCCCGGGAGGCTAAAAAGGCGAGAAAGCGGTGAAGGAGTGGCAGTAGTACCTCTTCCCCCTCCGTCGCCGAGCGCTGGAAAAAAACAATATTGGTGGTGGTGTCGCTTCCCCTTCCTCCGAAACTTGGCAGATGCCATAAAAAACTAACCAAACAACCTTGTAATCTCTTTCGGGCGGGTGGTAATGTTGAGCATGGACCGACCGTCCTGGCATTCCGACAGGCTTACCACGAGATGTTCTTAGAACCCAGAAATGTTATAATAACAAAAACTGTGGTTGCCAGCATGAAGACGACGTATTAAAACAAGACAGTCTCAGCCAGAAATGTTCTAAGAACATTTCGTGCAAATCGCAGCAAGTTCTTGGAACATTCTTTGGCGGGCCTACCTCAGGCGAGCCAGGACGCTTCGCCACTGCTTGATCATGGGGGGTGGCCGAAAATGAGGGGGTGAAGAGAAGGCCTCTGAAGGGGGCACTCGGGGGCCCCTCTTGGAGCCAGCAGGGGCCTCCAAGGGGCCCCGAAGTGCCCCTGTACGGCCCTGTTCCTCACCCCCCCCTTCCGGTCCCCCCCACTGTTGCCACCCGCCCGACGCGTGCGAGACAGATTATGACTTCCGCCGGCCCTTCTGCGGGCGGCGGCGGCGGTCCCGTTCTACTTCCGCCGACCTACGCCGAGGAAGAGAGGGCAACTCCCTCGGCCCTCGAAGGCGAGGCCCTTTATGAAACGCCTCACTCGGCTCGGACGCTCCCCGACGAAGCCCTCCGACCAAGAAGCCGCTGGAAACCAACCTGCCCCAGAGGTTGCTTCTGGGCGCCCGCGCGAGGAGCAAGCAGCGGGTGGCCACGGCCATCCCACAGTAGCTCTGACATGTCCAAACCAGGAGCTCGTCTGTCCTATCCCGCGGGCCATCCGTGTCGCATCCATGCCGGAGCCGTGTCACACGCGCCGGATCCGTGCCGAATCCGCGTCGAGTCCATGCCGAATCCACGTGGCATTCGCGCCGAATCCACGCCGAGCCCACGTCGGAGCACAGGAAAAGATGGCGCAGGACAGACCCCCCGAAGATGCAATGTAACTTCTGTGGGGGCCTTCTATACCACCTTGTCGGCTCTTGCAAGTCGACGCTAGTCGACGCAACATCGACGTTAATCGACTCTGAATCGAGGCGAATCCGATCGACGCTAAACCAGCACTGCCTTCTCGTCAACCACCAGACGCTAACCGACGCGAAACTGCACTTGAAAGACATAACTCTGCGAGAACACACCGGGCTCCCATGGCTTGCTGCCGACCGTGACCACGGCGCAACTCCCGCCCTCGGACCCCTCAGCTCCCAAGCTCTCCCGCTCGGGGCCCCGGGACCCCAGTCGGGGGGAACCATGCAACAGGTACCGATGCCGCCGCTCCCCGGACCTCGGGCGGGGACCTCGAGGCGACTCCCGCGGTGGTGACGAGGGCCGCCCAGGAGGCCCCGAGAGGGGACACCGAGCGAAGGGTAGCGGTATCGGTACCTTGTCCTCCTCCGATACCCGTTCCCGCGAGAGCCCGGACAAGTATACTTGCTCGGGACTGCAGCACAGCACTTGTTATTCTGTGTACAACGGCTCGAGCGAGGGCCGAGGCAGTGACGAGGCGACTCCGGCGGTGGTGACGAGGGCCGCCCAGGAGGCCCAAAACGAGCGAAAGGTAAAGGTATGGGTTCCGTTTCCTCCCCCTGACCGTGTAGTGTCAAGTCGGGCGTGTCCCCCTGCAGGAGGACTACTCAAAAATAGTCCAAACGTAATCAGGGGGGCGCTTTTTCTTTATCTTTGAATATTTTGGGGATGTGTTTTGACTCTGTATTATCTCTCGTCCGAAACCCGCCCGTAAGTGCCCGACCGAAGTGTGGTGACGGACCGCGCGATGACCTCGGCAGCCCCCCGCGACCACACGGCGCGCAGCCCGTCGCCGCACGGCCTCCCGGGACCCCGGAGGAGGGCCCCGCCGCCCGAGCAGACGTCGTTGGAGAACGCGCCGGGCTCCCCCCAAACCGTGCGGTGACCCCGGAGCTGGCCCACGAAACCCCAGCCCGGCGCATTCATCTTGAACTCTTCGAAGGGGTGGGCGGGCCCACCCGTGATTCGAAGATCATGCACAGAGGCGCGGGCGGGGCCCCCAGGAACGAGCCCCCAGACTAGGGCTCGTCTTCCTGGGGCCCGCTGTCCCCGCGCGCCGCCGCCGCCCTCCGCTCGCGAGCCAGGCGCCCGTGGTCTCGCGCCTCCTCCAGGGTCGCGAAGCCGTGCGACCTGGCTACGCTCTCGAG